GGAGCCCATAGGGAGGAGAGGGGAGGTCAGAAATCCGTTCCCTCGCCGTCTTTGTGGGTTATTTAGTTTATTTTTGTCTTATTTGTCACCCCGGCGTTTTGGATGCTGCCCTCAGACGATGCTGCCTCCTGTCTTTTCCATTGCTTCTACTTATTTTTCTACAATTAGAGGAAATGCATGATAAGGGGAAAAATAAAGGGGCTCAACTCTGAGATGGATGATATTAACTTGCCTGACTCTAATTTCAGCTTTTGCTTTGTATAAAAAACCTTTCAAGACCTAAACTGCATCATGTCTGCCACTGGGACTGAGTGTGCTGTCCTTAGAACAACACACTCTTGCCTGGAACAAGAAGGGGAACAATTTCCTCACGTGGAAAAAAACACTATGAAGAAAAAAGAAAAGAAAAAGAAGCTAATTGTCTAACTATATTTTATGGAAACTAATGTTAGATAGCCGCCATACAGCACAATCCTGAACAAAATGGACAAAACCGAGCACACTCGTATTATGGAAACAGCGTCCAGAAGAAGTTTCTCCCCTCTCGATTGTCTATGCCAGTTTGAATCAACCCTGCCTCCCATTTTGAAGACACAACCAGTCCCTTCTTCCAGAAAGCCTTTTCGGCGGTGCTATAATAAACCATTTTCCCTGGGCTTTATTGATCAGTCACTCTGAGCTAATGTAATTATCCTCATCAATAGGGGGACTGCAGGGAGAATCATTATGCGGCTGACATTGATAAATGATCAGCCAAATGCGGGCCTTTTCTCTCAGGGACCCCCGCCTCTGACCCGCTCACACAGGCCCGCATAACGTAGTCATAGAAACACCTTATGGCAAGAGGAGCGAAAACTGCTGAAATGTTTAAAAAAGAAAGGAGGGCAGCGCGCACGCACGTACACCCACACACAAACGCTGGCCACTCACACAGACCCTACAAACTGTCCCCCTGAGCAAGCCATTTTGGGGAGAGCCAGCTGCACAGCGAAGGACACTCAGCCCCTGCCTGGGCTCTTTTTTTACGACCAGCATCCAGATCAGCAATTTGAAAGAAAAAACAAAGGCCAAAAACTTTTGTGTCGTCCCTGCGCTGCCTGCAGATGCACGCCTGTTTCTAAATATATGTCTTTTTTTTTTTTTGTCCCCTCTCTTAGATCATAAACCCCACTTCAGCAGACGCTGCACAGAGGATAAGAAATAGAAAAAAAAAGATCCAATAACAAACGCGTTATTAACATGCCGTCTCTGTTAAACACACACACACACACACACACACACACACACACACACACTTTAGGTTTCAAGCGGGCGAACTGTGTGCGGACTTTTAATATTGTTGCACGGGGGGAAAGTGTCTTCCAGAGGAACGGGCGGCATTGTGCATCGAAGCAGAGGGAATATATTCCTTATTTTATTCGTGCAGCAGCAGCCCGGACTGGCTTTGACAGGGAGGAGATGAAGGGGAGGAGTTGTTTAGCTCGGCTGGATCATCCATCATCCCTGTCACACCGAATCGGCAAAAGGAAAGCAGCAGAGGCAATCTACCTTCTGTCTCATCGGGGAGGAGGTGGGGGAGAGGAGGAGGAGGAGGAGGAGGAGGGAGAGAGGGGAAGAGAAGAAAAAAAAACTATTAATATTAAAATCCTCTCCATCCACAGTAATCCTCGCGTTTTCTCTCTTTTTCATCTGATAATCTCCGCACAAAACGGCGGGATTCTTCCTTCCGTTTTACCCACAGAATAAAACAGCAGCAGAAAAACAAAAGAGTCTTTTAGCTCTCTAAATAGTTGAGAGTGGAGGACTGTTCGTTAATTAAACTCCAATGTAAAACGAAGAAGAAACATTTTCTTCTGCCCAGTTGAGACCTGACTCGTATCTTTGTACAGAAAAAGTGGACCTATATGATGATCGTGTTGCATCAGAGAACCTTTTTTTTTTTTTAAAGCTGTGGAGCGAATGTTAAAAGAGCCTAAAATCTGATTCTGAGCTTACTGCATTGTCCAAAACGACCTTTTTAAAATGAACTCTCAACATTTATGTTATAAGGCCTTCTCCAGGAGACATGTCTAGAGTCAGATGGATTTTATATATATATATACAAACAGAGAGAGGCCTAGGCGTGAAAATAAATAACCAGAAATATAACA